CTGACAGTGGCATCTGTTTCCCAACAGAGTTGACTTGTCTAGCCTCAGTGAGAAAGGATGCACCTACTCTGGCAGAGACTTGATGCACCAGAGTCTGAGAATACCAGGGCGGGGCACCCTCTCAGAGGGTAAGGGAAGTAGAGATGGGGGAGGGTTCCTATGAGTGAAGACCAGGAATGGGCAGTGTTTGAGATGTAAATAAATAAATAAATAAATAAATAAATAAATAAATAAATAAATATTAAAAAATAAAGTCAGGGTATGTTTAAGTACCCGTGACAATGTGGATTCAGCATGATTTCAGGATTGACCTCTTCCCTGGGGAAGACCCCCTGTTCCACCTCCAACTTTTCTCAGTTGCCTGCAGTTCTCTATGTAGGGTTGAAGCTTCACAGGCTTTTCTCAAACCATTTTTGCATGTGCATTGATGTTGTCCTTGTTCAGCTCATGCTTGGGTGTTCATGTTGATGTGACTTTAAGGGTATAGCTTTTGGCATTACTAGCAGACACAATCTCACAACTTCCCTGATCTTTTGGCTCGTACAATATTTTGTCACCCTCTTTTATAGTGTTCCCTGAGCTTTATGTATGGAAATGTTTTGTAGATGGATCTACGGGGCCTGGGCTCAACACTCTGCATTTTGATGGGGTTTGGTTTTCTGTAGAGATCTCTGTCTGCTGCAAAGATATTTCCTTAATAAGAGGTGAAGACTACACTTATTTGTAGTTTTGATGCCAAATGTTTATAGATTTTGTGCAGGATTATGCTGGTTTAGTAAGTTAGTAAATTGTAGATTCTCCTCTAATACATGGTTCCCCTATTACATGCGTTAATTATCTATGATCATATCCTTATACACTGTATAGTGACATTTATTCCTTTCCACCAGATTTTAATATTCAAGAAGAGAAGGGCCACACATTTTTTTCCACTATGTTCCTAGTACCAAGTATGATACTTCAAAAACTGTAGCTGAGTAAATATTGGCCCAGTAAATATTTGATGAATATACAAAGCGAGGTTCTGAGAATCTAAAAAACTGAAAGGAACATACGACCCAGCTCATGACTTCAAGGAGTTTCTGAGTTAGTGTATAATGTGCAGCAGGACAAGAGCATAAACAATGCACACATAAATAGCAAAAGGAAGAGGAAGTTGGGTTATTGGAATATTTCAGGAAGAACAGGAAATTCAAGAAAGTTGGAAAACTAGAAAGCAATAAAGCAAGAGAAGAAGAAAGGAAGGAATAAAAGAAGGAAAGAAAGAAGGAAGGAAGGAAGGAAAGAAAGAAGGAAGGAAGGAAGGAAAGAAGGAAGGAAGAAAGGATGGAAGGATGGAAGGAAAGAAGGAAGGAAGGAAGGAAGGATGGAAGGAAGGAAGGGTTAGTGGGCAAAGAGATGCTACAAGCTAAGGCAACATCACTATTGTTGCCACCTGTAAAAATTAGGAAGGTGATCTGAAGAGTATGAATTCTGCTAAAATAGAGTATTTGTCTAGCTAGAAAAAAAAGCAGATTTACTTTAGGAAAGTACATGGCATTGTTATTAAGGTAACCATTGATTACCATTCTATACAGCTTCTGATTTGTAGATATACATCTTTAAAGAGCTAACCTAGAAAAAATGATGAAAACTTTATGTACAATGGAGCAGAATGAGAATGGAGAATAAAAATAATAAAGACATAAACTAGGATAAAAAATGCAAAATTTAAAATATGCTGGTAGCAAGAATGAATGGAGGTAATAAGAATGCCCTTGCAGAAAATAGTTACTTAAGTAATGTTTATTGAACACTTATTGGATACTAAATTTATCACTTATATTAGCAGAATAAACTCTCATACCTATTCTCCACATTTGGTACAACGATTGTTGTCATTTTTAATGTACACAAGCTCATGTTCTATGGCATCTGTGTCTGACTTCATATATTGCTTAACATATTTTTCCCCCTGATCAAGCAGTTTTGTTGCAAATGGCAGAATTTCCTTATTTTCAAGGGCTGAGTAAAATTCAGTTGTGTGCATCCACAGATGATTGTTTATATATTCATTTTTGTTGGCTATATGCTTTATTCTGTATGTTGTCTAAAAGGAATGACAATGAAATAAATATGGGGGTAAAGCAGTTTTGTTAAAATGTTGATTTCATTTATTTTAGATATATAACACAAAGGAGGGATATTGAATAATGTGATAGTTCTATTTTTAATATATGTATTTTTAGAAAATACAATCCTCTTTTTTGTTGAATGACATCAATTTATATTCCTTCCAATATGGTAGGAAAAATATCTCCCTTTTCTTTACATCCTCATTACCACTTACTTTCTTTTGAATTGCAAAAAGCTCTTTGTAATGGCTTGAGTGATATTTCATGGTAGTTTATAATTTTTATTACTCTGATGATTTGTGGTGTTTGCACCTTTTCTTACACCTCTATTCTGCCATCTAAATTTCTCTATCACTTAATTACAATCACCACATGTGAATATATTTTGAAGATACTATTTATTTTCAGAATTGGTCAGTTTTGTTAATAACTCTTCCAACATCCATGCTATTTTTTAACATTAATGTATAAAGGTTATAATACTAAGTTTCTATATCTTCTTTATTTGAGAAATACCAAATATTTAACATCTTCAAGCTGAATGCCTTTTATATAAAGTGAGACCCACATTTTTAGACAAAACATGATATTTTACTTACCAGGAGATTTACTTACCAGGCAAAATAACAACAATAATTCCTTCAAGGGGTGAATCATGCACACTTCAAACCACATGGAGTTGATAATCCAAAGCATGATGTTTCATAATTCTCTTTTCATTTTTATTCTTCCCACATATCTTTAAAGTTGGTTAAATCCTTCTAGATTTCAGCAGCCTTGAGGCAGTGATTCAAGTCCCTAAGCTAAAATTTGTTTACCTCAAAAGAAGGGTCATTGGCCCAGCTGAGTCAGCCTTTGGGGGATTTGATTCTCTGTTCTGATGCTCTGCTCTCTTGTCTTGGATAATTAAGAGGTGACTAAATGGCCCATGTAAATGGAAATATTTAAAGAGAGGCTGGTTGCCCACTTATTTTTACAACATCTGGGAAGGATTTGAATCAAATCACTGGCCTCTAAATGATGCTTCAAGGACAAAAGCAATGCTGACTGTATGGGAAGCTTTGTGAAAATAGAATTTTCTGGCCTTACCTAAAACATGTTGAATCAAAATCTCTAGAGGAAACACCTGGAAAGCTGTATTAATTTTTTGCTGTTGTTGTTTTAAAGAAATAGTCTTTCTCACATGGATCTGAAGATCCCTTATGTTTGGAAAATACTGGTGGAAATCAAAGTTTCCAAAGACTTAACTAAGTTTGTTAAAATACAGGTCTTGAGGGAGGGGCTGAGATTCTTCTGAATCTCTAACAGGCTCCCATACTTGTTGGCTTAGACATTTTTTGCAACAAAGTGCTGGATTATTTTTCAAGTTTCTTCTAGTTTTACTTTTCTTCACTTTATAAAACAGTGGTTTCCAACCTTCCTAATGCTACAACCCTTTAATACACTTCCTCATGTTGTGGTGACCCTCCAACCACAAAATTATTTTTGTTGCTGCTTCATAACTGTAATTTTACTACAGTTATGGATCATAATATAAATATCTGTGTTTTCTGGTGGTCTCAGATAAATTCAGTGAAAGGGTCATTTGACCTCCAAAGAGGATGTGACCCATGGTTTGGGAACTGCTGTTATAGAATCTGTAGCATATTAATCCTCACTCACATCAAAATTCTATTAAAACTAATGCATTCTTATACATACTAGATATATATATATATGCATGCTAGATTTTGATCATACACAACTCCATCCTACCTTCTCCAGGCCTCCTCCATATGGCTCCCTCTCAACTTTGTCATATCCTGTTTTGTTTTTTTAATAATCCACTGAGTCCATTGCAATATGCTCATATGTGTATGTGTTTGGAGCTTCCACCAGAGGAAGGGCAACCTATCAGTGGCTTTTCTCCCCCCTTAGCAGTCATCAACTGCCAATAATTCCTCATCTAAAGACAAGGCCTTGTTCATACTGGAATTTTGATAGGCTTAATCTTGAGCATGTAAATCCAGCTCCACGTAAATTCATGACTGTAAAAAGAATCTCAATCCAGATATAGGATACCCTCCATATGTGTTATTGGTAAAGGAGTCTCCAGAGCAACACCTCATCAAAGAAAAACACAAATCAGACTATTGCCATTATTCATGGTTGCCCACTGTAATTAGATGGTCAGATCCTATTGCTGAAGATACCACATACTTTTGTTGTAATACATATAAGAATTTTAAACTGACTTGGAAACTTCCTCCTGGCTAGCCAGCTTTTATTGTGTCAGGTGATACTATTAGGCCTCTGGATGAAAAAGACATTAATAGTCTTCTCCATGCTGTAATACTAACCTGGGAGTGGGGGAGAAGACATGCACTCTGGTACAATGGTGGCACAAAGGTTGAGGAGATAAACAACTACATTGTGATTGGGTTTAAGGTCTGTTCACAGAAGAAAATTCATGAGTAACACTGTAAACCTTACCAAAAGCCTATGGCTAGAAAGGCCATCAGCCCTAGAGGGGAATCTACTGTGTTATTTTGCTAAAACTTGATCATGTTAAAATGCCTTCTAAATACTTGTTTGTACCCACAGATCTATGATGCTCTCAACCTTGGTTGTAAATGTTTCTTTTTGAAATGGGAAGCAATTAATGCAGAGACTTATAACTGACCAAAATACTAAGACTAAGTGACTGTGACGTCTTCAGCCCTAAGCAAGATATCACTCACACAGTGAGGCTCAGGGAATATCATAGAGAAGGAGGGTAAAGAATGTAAGAGCTAGACGATGGGGAGGATTTTTGTGAAACATTATTGTCTGGATATGACATGGCCATTAACACTAGTTTTTCTTATTAATGTCAGACATAATGAGCTTATTTTCATTTACTTGCAGGTTTGCCTTTTATTCTCTCAATCTCTTCTTCAATGCATATCTGAAAAAGTCTGAGAAAAAAGAACAATCAAAGTAAGTCATCTTCGAATAGTGGCAGAGCCAGCCTGCACTGAAGCAAACCTTTCTTCTGTGTGAACCAGACTTCTCCCCCCCATCGAAAAGAACATGAAATGTCCTTTCAAACACCTGTAAAGTGATGACTATCATGTGGGAACTTGAGAAGCTGATGTATGACACAGTTATGAATCAAGTGAGAAATATCCAGTTTCCATGATGTTCTGGAAGGCCTTACCACAAAATAAACAAGAGGAGAAAATTTGAACAGTTTTTCATGAGTGTTTGCAACATGGATTTCTGTAGTTGTGTATACAAATCTGAGGCATAAGTACAACCAGGCTTTCTTTAAGTTCCCAAATTCTGTGTAGAGACTAACAATTGTGGCAAAAGGTTGTTTTACACTCTGTCTCTCTGAACCACTGACTTGTGGACAATACAGCAGTTACTTGTGGATTTAGATTTTGAATGACAAATAGGCAAAGACAATTTCTCTAGAAATAATCATGACTGATAATTTTACATGTAACAAGACAGATGGAGACAATACAGATTTTCGGTACTTCATTTATGCAGTGACATACACTGTTATTCTTGTGCCAGGCCTCATAGGGAACATATTAGCCTTGTGGGTATTTTATGGCTATATGAAGGAAACCAAAAGGGCTGTGGTATTTATGATAAACCTAGCCATTGCTGACTTATTACAGATTCTCTCTCTGCCACTGAGGATCTTTTACTACTTGAACCATGACTGGCCATTTGGTCCTGGTCTCTGCATGTTTTGTTTCTACCTGAAATATGTTAACATGTATGCCAGCATCTACTTCTTGGTCTGCATCAGTGTGCGAAGATTTTGGTTTCTCATGTACCCCTTTCGTTTCAATGATTGCAAGCAGAAATATGACTTGTATATCAGCATTGTTGGCTGGCTGATCATCTGCCTTGCCTGCCTACTCTTTCCTCTCCTCAGAACCAATGATGATACTTCAGGTAACAGAACCAAATGCTTTGTGGATCTTCCTATCAGGGATGTCAATCTGGCCCAATCTGTTGCCATGATAACTATTGGAGAAGTAGTTGGGTTTGTTACTCCTCTTATGATTGTTCTATACTGTACTTGGAAGACAGCTTTATCATTACAAAATAAATACCCCATTTCTCAACATCTTGGAGAGAAAAAGAAAGCCCTGAAGATGATTCTGACCTGTGCAGGGGTGTTTCTAATTTGCTTTGCGCCTTATCACTTCAGCTTTCCTTTAGATTTCCTGGTTAAGTCCAATGAAATTAAAAGCTGCTTAGCCAGAAGAGTGATTCTAATATTTCATTCTGTGGCCCTGTGTCTGGCAAGTCTGAACTCCTGCCTCGACCCAGTAATATATTATTTCACCACTAATGAGTTCAGAAGACGTCTTTCAAGACAAGATTTGCCTGATAGCATCCAACTCCATACAAAACCATATAAAATTGGGAGTAACCATGCCACTTCTACCATGGCAGCTGAACTATGCTAAATAAAACCAAGAAATGAAAGTGGCCTGGACTGCCAGTACTAGAACACATTTGCAGTACTCCAGCAAGACAGTATTCACAGAAAGTATTCATAACCATATCGTGTGTTCTATATTATTTACATGAAGAATGCACATATTTAGGACAACACTTGTTTAAAGTATTATATTTCAATATCATTGCTGGTGACATGTCCATGCAGTAATGTCGGACCAAGTCTTTAAGACTTAATTGGTAAAATTTTGATAACACTCTGCACACATACACTCTCAGCAAGAGTAATCAGCTTTATCTGTGAACCTAAGTCACAACGAGATTGCTATCTCAAACACATTTTAAGCAGAGTTTTCTTACCTCAGATACTAAATCTATGTTCAAAAGGTGTGCAATTGTCTGTTTGCCATAGTGATCACAGTTTGCATTCCAACAACATATTTGGTTGTATTTAAAGTGGAATGGGCAAAACTTTATGTACACAAAATGTTATAAAAATAGGGTAATTTTTATCTCCCAAGTGTGATTCCATTCAAGGATTTGAAATTCCAGTGCTTGATTTCTTCAGTTAGTTTCAATATGAAACATCAACTGTAATATTACTTGTTGAATGAAGTTCTCAAATCAGGTTTCGGTACACTTAAACTAAGAACAACAAACATTTATGACACACAGTAATCATGTACAATTGTATAAAATGCTACATTGAATATTCCAAGAGCAGGTAGTTTTCTTCAGTTAACTCAACGTGACTCAGATGGTCTTTATGCTTTAGAGAAAGGAAAGAGGTGCCAACCACAATTCTGGCTCCCTGAAACTAGTTCAGAAGAACACCTTCAGAAATATATGAACCTGCCTAGGAGAGGAATAGTTTTTCATCGTAATTTAGAATTACATTGAAGAAATATTACAGGTTATTACTGCATTTACTGAGCCTATGGAATAAACAGTGTGCCAATTAGTCACTAAACTTGGACAGAGTAAAAATAAGAACCAAAGTGAAGTATAAGTCTTAAAATTACTATTGTCCTTCAAATATTATCCAAGGTAAAGGGTGCCTATTAAGGCATCTACGCAAGTCAGATTAAGACATAAAGACATTGGTCATGTGGACTTCTAAATCTGCATTTTTTTCAGTTAAGTTATATGATAATTAAGCCTACAAAGATTACCTCCCAGAAACTGTTAAAAGCAATTTGTTCACCTTTTAAGAAAAGTCTGAATCATTCCCGCAGCCTTACACACTCCTTATAAAAGCTATGTCTATTACCTGTTTGATACTATTGATTAGGAAAATCTCGGGTATGTGGCTGTAAGTACTGAAATATTCTGAAGCATGATATACATTATAAATAAGATTACTTTTAAAAATCTTTGAATAGAAGAATGGGGAGAAAACATTCTTCTTTACATTGAGAAAATATAGAAATCAAGCAAGAAATATACATACATACATACATGCATACATACATACATACATACAGTGTAGTTTTAGGCACATAGTTAATGATACTATATGTTTTGGGGGAAATTCATTAAATTGACATGAATTTTAGCTTTTAATACTAGTGGGAAACTTCTAAAGTTTTCTCTGAGTAAGTAACAAAAAGTATTGCTTATGTTTGTACAGTTTATGGAAATGATAATAGATTAGGAAAATGAGTTTGTGCTGCTAGCAACAGTATATTTATATATTTCCTAGTTATTCCCTGTAATGTATATATGTTTTGATGTATTAAATTAGTGTTAAATTTTGTTTTCAAAAGAGAAACTATAAATGTGTGTGGTCTATTTGTTTTAAAGTGATTTCTGTTTGACTGTAATTTTGTATTGTAATGAGATTACAAGTAATCATTTATGAAACTATGAAACAACTGTGGGTTTTTGAAATAGAATTCACACTTAAAACATCTATGCTTATTATATTTTGTAGCATTTAAAGTCACTTTGGGAGATCACTGTTTGAACTTTTTCTAACATTGATTTCACTATACTCATACCATCTCTTTAAGGGAGAGGAAATATTCCTAGGCTATTATTGACCATCGTAGTGTGACTGAGAGTACAGCTGATTTGTTAGATAGTCCTTCTACATCATTTAGGAATAAGTCAAGTGTCTAATGATTTTATGTTATTTATCTATCCAGACATGTCTATCTGGGTTTGTATTCAGCATCTGAATACTGAATCAGAATCACTTTCTTGATTCTTCATCTTCCTTGCCCTTACATTTGAATTTTGCTCTATCCCCTTCCCCTTTTGATCAACTTATTCACAATAAGGTGCTAATTACAATGTTAATTTCATATTAATTTGCCAAGGAATATCTTAAGTTCATACCTTAGAAATAGGCATTAACACAAAATGGTGAAATTGAAATGAAGTGCTTGCAGGCACAGGTAGATGTGGTAGAGGGGAAGATACTGTAAAGAGAGTGAGTCTTATTACAATCCTTTCAAATAATGCATTGCAAATGACCATCTACTTTGGTTGCCATTATGAGGATGCTAAATTCCAATAAATAGCTCCATAAACATGGGTATACATTTTCCAGATTTTTTTCTTTTACCCTTCTCTCTCTTCTAACACTGGACTTAGTTTGCAGGAGAAATATAGTGCTTCAGCTACTACTAAGCAGCTGCCTCTTTACTGAGGTTCCATTCTCTTTGGAAAGTTTTTCTTCAGATCTCTTATTTATCATTTTGAGTTCTATAAGATTGAATACAAAGAGAATCTGAATTGTGGCACTGTATAATTAAAGATAAATTATCTCATATTTCTTTTATAAAGTTGTTAAATTTTAGTCTTAAAATAATGCAAATTATTTTAATGAGAAAATTTGAATATAGATTGTTTTAATGCTAATAATATTGTCTTTATTGTTGCTTTTATTATTTTAATGAAATGGTTTATATGTTATATGTCTTCATTTTCATGTAATAAAACAGCAAATCCTATTAATCAGTAGTTTATGAAGAGGAGCCATTTGCTTTACAAATAACAAACTAAGTTATCATGCTTTATATGGATTCATCAGTGGAACTCTGAACAACTTAATTTTTATGCCACCTTTTGAGTTAACTTCCAAAATACTGTGAAATTTTGTTACTAGAGTTTATTTACAGCTCTTATTTATCATATAATTTTAATAATAAAGGTTATCTATGTAATTAAATGCAATTTTCCTGACTCTAGATGTCAATGTGTGATCAGTTCTTTTACCAAACTGATAGATTTAGGGACTGTTAGTGGGATCACATACATGGATTTATGTTTCTTAGGGTTGATTATTTCTTTTAATCTACTGGAGTGGTGAATTCCATTCTCAAAGACCAAGATGAGTTGTCCCCTCTATGTTATCATACCTCGGGTCTCCTCTAGGCTTAACTTTGTTTTGTCTATTTTAGCCATTTGCTGCTCATCTTGTTTATATCCATAGATTGCTTGTGAAGCCAAAGTAGCTTCAGTAATAACAAGATAGTTATGAATTACACATTTTAATGTTTTCAGAAAGACATTCTTAGGATGTGGTTTTTTTTTAAAAAAAAGGTTTCTTTTTAAGTGAAACATCTGATTCTTGGGTAGATCAGAAAAAATAATGAAGTTATAAATACATAACCTGCATCATGCTTCAAGTACCCTCAAACCACTTAGAAAACTTCCCTGTGATCCTGTGAAACCATACAAAAAGTAACTTGAATACCTTCAGAACTGTATTCTGCTATGGTAATGGTTGGCAGAAGAAGGTGAGAGATAAACTTGTAAAAAATATATTTGTTTAAAGTTACATATTCGCCAGGCAGTGGTGGCGCACCCCTTTAGTCCCAGCACTTGGGAGGCAGAGGCAGGCAGATTTCTGAGTTCAAGGCCAGCCTAGTCTACAGAGTGAGTTCCAGGACAGCCAGGGCTATACAGAGAAACCTTGTCTCAAAAAAAAATAATAAAGTTACATATTCCTCAGTTTTGAAGGATGTGGTCTGTGTGGAGGAGGGAGGAGACTATTTGAGCAAACTTTTCTTGAACTTCACAGACCATTTTTTCAGTAGGGCCCATTTAGCTTTAACTACTATTTAATTTTGCAGAGACTACAATCTTCTTTATTGTTTATTGTATTCATTTCTTCTTAATCTTAACATCTGATTCATCTATAGGTAATAGGTACAATCCACATGTAAGTCCTTGCTCTTACCTTCTTGTCCATATTCACTGTACCATAGGTAGGACTATCCTTATACTTGGCCATCTAATCCCAGTGTCTTTTTGTTTTTCATAAAGGCTTTCCAGTTTATACAGGAACATAATGGTATGGTACAAGTTTTCAGATCTTTACCATGTTTCATTTTCAAAATTTATAATAATACCAATAGTACTAAAATTAAATCAACAGAATCAAAAGTAAAAGTTTGAAAAACATATTGCCCATGATGTGAGTTTAGTGAGCATGAACATAATGAATGCAGGTGTACTATGAATTCTCCAACAAGTCCTGAAAAATGTAAAGAATTTAATAATAGATGAAATTATCTGAATCACATTACTGTTCTATTTGCTTATAAACAATGAAACTACTACATCATTGAAAGGAAATCATTGGAATTAGAAATGATCATGCTATGGCAAAGAAGGTATACACATAAAACACTGCATATTTTAACATATGTATGGGCTAGAGAAAAAGGAAAGGAAAGTAAAAAGAGAACTATTAGGGGTGTTGGATTGGAAGGGACAGGGAAAGAGGAACAAAAATATATAATATAATATATATTATTACATATGTAATAAAAATAATAAGTTTCCTAAAAAGAAGCAAACACTCTGACATGACATTATCAGACAGGGAATCTCCAAAGATACCACTGAGTTAATTTTGTTGGCAAATGTACAGCTGAGCAGGCACCCTACACTTAGAGTAGATTGTATCCCTGGTTGGATGCCCTATTAATTAAAGATTGGTTCTGGGTTAGGGATGGGGGTATTTATCCATCTCTCTTTAATCCTTCTAACCCTATCTGGGTCAGACCCCTTCAATACCTGTTTATGCTGCCTCAGTTTCTGAAAGTTCATATGTATGCCTACCTTGTTCAGTTAGAGGGCCTTGTTTTCTTGGTGTCCTTTGGCTTTTAAACTTCTTATGTCTCCTTTTTTGAGAGGTTCTCTGAGACATGAAGAAAAGTATTTGGTGGAAATATTCCCTTTAGGGCTCTGTGTTCCAAGGTCACTCCTCTTCATAATCTCTAGCTGTGGGTTTCTGTATTTATTCTCATTTGCTGTAAGGGGAAACTTCTTTCATGATAACTGATATATATATATATATGGCAAAAAATGTCATTAGGAGACATTTTTGTGACATTATTATTTACTGTTTGTAGATCAGTAGTACTTAGTTTTATCCTAAGTACCTGTGCTACCTACTCTCAGGTTGGTGGCAACCTAAGCAGTGTCCAGCATGGGTTCCATCTTGTAGACTGAGCCTTAAGTCAAATCAGATGTTGGTTGATTAATCCCATGTGCTTTTAGGCATGGTTTCACTAGCATATCTTGCAACAGGGCACAACTATAGATCAAAGTGTTTGTGGCTGGGTTGGTGTTTACATTTCTACTTGGCTAGAATACAGACTTCCATCCTGTATCAAAGATGCAAGAACATAGAAGTGAAGGATCAATGTAGGCACCAGCTTGACTTCTCCATGTTCAATGAATTGTATAGGTACTTTTGCTGTCAGTTTGTGGAAAGCTACCTATAATCTTTGGAAAAGCCTATGTTGTTTTTTTGGGGGGGTTCCATGGAATTCCTTTGGCCAACAACTCAATCAGATATAACCCAATCCCAGAATTTGAAGTTTCATTTGGTAATAAGAGATGGTCCATTTGGGTTCTGTTTCCCTCAATATTTGTTGATTTAATTTAGATCACCTTGTTAAATGTATTTATTTTAGGAACCTACTGTAGTATGTTTCCATACTACTCCTTAAATGGCCCTTAATTTTAGTTGTTTCTCCCATATTTCCTCCTTCATCACCCTCTCCCCTCCACCTTCCTTCTTGATCCTCCCATTCCAGCCTCCCCTATCCATCCATAACTATCTATTGTATTTCTTTTTCACTGGGAGCTCTCTCTGTCCACCACCTAGTCTTTATATAACCTCCATGGTTCTATGGACTGTACCTTACTGATCATTAAATTAAGAGCTAAACTGTACATGCAAGCAATTCACTCATGTGAATTTCATGATATCATTTTTTAAAAGTTAAGTAATACTCTATTGTATAAATGTACCACATCATCTATCCATTCTTCTTTTGAAGGACATCCAAGTTGTTTTCAACTTCTAGCTATTTTGAGTAAAGCAGCAGTGAACATGGTTGAACAAATATCTCTGTGATAGGACAAAGTGTCCTTTTAGTAAATAAATGCCCAAGAATGATATAGCTGGATCTAAATTCCAAGGAATTGCCACCCTGATTTCTATAGCGGCTGTACAAGTTTACACTCCCACCAGGAATGGATGAGTGTTCCTCTTGCTCCACATCCTTGCCATCCTTCTATTGATGTGGAGTTGGTAGAAATTTTTTCAGTTTTGTAGGCTGCCACTTTGTCCAAATAATAGTGTCCTTTGTTTTACAGTAGCCTTTAAGTTTGAAGAAACAGCAGGTATTAATTGTTATCTTAGTATATGTGCTATTGGTGTTATGCTCAAAAAGTCTTTTCCTGTGACAATGAAATGGATGAAGCTACACCCCATGTTCTCAAGGCGGATTTTTGCAAGGAGGAGGGTCTAGGAAGGAATGCTTAATTGGCTAATGCTCCTGGGCCAATCTCATGAATATGGAGATCTGTCTTGAGGCTCTGTGGCCTGTAGCCATGCCCTCTACCTGTGCTATGTGACCGAAGGCCACAAACTTCTCTATGGTGGGGGGGCTGTAGCTATGTGAAAGGAACCAGGGGCCCAGGAGCAAGGCCAAACTCCTACCATCCCTGGAGGGTCTCCAGGGTTCAAGGCCTACTCGACCAGGTACCCAGCTACCTCTCACAGCCTCACATGCATCTAGTGAGATGATGATGTGGGTTTTTTTTGTTGTTGTTGTCATTTCTCAGTTTGTTTAGATGGTGAATTACATTAATCAATTTACATATTTAAACAATCCCTACATCTCTCACATGCAATACTTGGATTCAGTTTGTAAGTATTTCATTGAGAATGTCTGTACCTATGTTCATTAGGAAAATTGGTCTGCATTACTCTTTGTAGAGTCTTTTGGTGGTTTGGGTATCAAGTAACTGTAGCATCATAAAATGATTTGGACAGTATTCTTTCTTTTTCTATTTTTGAATAATTTGAGAATTAGGACTAACTCTTCTTTGAATCTGGTAGAATTCTGCACCATTAATCTATTAATTTATGGCTTAACTTTTTTATTCTTAATTTTACATTAGCATAACTTTGAACATTATTTCCAGCTCTGCTTCATTATACCTACAAGTCATGAAATTCCTTTCAGTGTCAAAACTATGAATCATCATTCGGCTTGAGTTTAAGTCTCTAAAAGTCTAAGAGAACATCTTAGGCTGCTGAGGGTGGCAGTGTGGAGCCATGTTTCTGTCCTCTCACTACTGACATGTAATTTCATTGAGGTCAGATATTGTGAAATTTCAGAGATTTTTCTTTGTGATTGACATTTCAATGAATAATCAAGGTCCCCACATGAATGTTAGGATTGCATTTTTATAGGTTCATTTGTTTGTTTCAAAAAATGTCAGTGGAATTTTGATGAGTGTTAGATGGATTCTCTAAGTCACATTTGAAAAATATAGCCATTTCACAGTATTAAGTCTAGCATTATCTTGGAGATTGTTCAATCTTATACTATTTCTATAGTTTCTTTTTTCATTGTCTTAAATAATTAATTGAAGAGGTAGTTCATCTCTCTGTTTAGACTATAACTTGGATTTTTGTTGTTGTTTCTTTTTCCTGTTGGGAATGTTAGAGAAAGAGCTAAAGATGATTAAATGAGCCCATTAGAGACCTTTTCCACAGAGAAACATCCAGAAGCATCTAATCAACTGTGCCTCAACTGTACTGAATTTCTTATATCAGACCAGTGTCACTGGTAACTCTCAGGAAGGTGTTCTCTCATCTTAGAAACATGCATGACAAGAATATCCAGTTGGTGAGAGAAAGACTGCTGTAG